CCGAGACTTTTCAGTGATCATGACAAAATAAACTTTGCACAAGCTCTTGGAGCTCCTTCCTAATAATGCGGAAAGTATACGAAAGAATCCAAGTTTAAGGAGACAGGTATGTTTTCTCTCTTTTGACATACTTATGGCGACGCAACAGGTTGAGGGGGCCTCCATGTGAGATGAAAAATTCTTTCTTGCTATACGATCAGGCTTAACAGACTGTAGGGGTTACAAACAGGATGGCGGGCAGATTGAGTGAGAGCAAGGTCAGAAAGATGTGCAAAAGCCCACCTTGACCAGTTTATCAGGAGAGACACAATCTGCTTCCCCTCCCAGACTGATGATCTACCAGGCTGCAGAATTTACTGTGAGGAAAAGACCTACGCAAGCTGTGTTTTCTCCACAGAGGACTAAGTCGCCTACCTGAGGACTGAAGACTGTTACCTGGACTTGTGTAACCTTTAGGGCCTTGAGTTCATCTAAAGGCTAGGCCAAAGAAATGAGGGAGATCTGAAGCTTCCAAAGTCTCCAAATAAAAGCCCCAGGGGTCTTCCTACCTCAGAAAGAAGCCAGAAACCAGCTACCTAATGATTATCAAGCATAAATGATGCCCCCCTGTCTAATTTTAGAGCCTTCAAACAAGAAGAGCTGTCTTTGGAAACGGCAAAGAAGAGGTGACTGGCTGCATTCCATTCTAAAACCAATCTAAGGGAGACTAAAACATCAGGAGACTGTGGCAAGGAAAATCCCTCAGATTTGTGATTGTGCTGGGCCAACAGATGCCCAGGGAAGGCCACACCTGAGCAGAGCTCACCCTGTAAGCAGCCCCCACCCCCCAGGCTGCAAGGAACACAAGCAGCTCTCAGGACATGCCCACAGTGCTGCCTCTGTGGTGACAGCTCCTGGGTGTGAAGAGCCCACCTTCCACCCTCCTCCGGCTCCTACTAACCCTTCCAGAATCTCCACAGTGCCATGAAAGTTTACCTCATTTAGGTGCCAGGCACTGCATACGGCTCTGGGACTCCAAAGGAAAGGACGACAAAGCCTCTGCTCTCAGACTAGCCTAACAGACAGGGCGTCGCAGAAAGGCACCCTCTTGGCCGAGCTCATCTGTGCCACAAGGTACCGTCACACAGCACACTGCTGTTGTGACAACTATCTGCACATGAGTCTGCCCCACTCTCTACCTCTCAGTAAATTCCCAGCGTGCAGAAAACGTCTCAGCCGTCCTGGTTCCTCTAGCACCGGGCACAATGCTCCAAAAACTAGAAAGAAAAGGGTCAGAGGGTGAGGAGGACTCCCGCTTTGCAGAGAGCCCACGTTGCCTGAGAAGCTCGGGAGAGCAGGTGTGACGAGCACACGCGCGTCCCGCCCTGCCCACCTTCTCCTCTCCTGTCCTCCCTGGGGCTGCCTGGTCCTGGCCTTCCAGCCTCCTCTCCAGAGGGCTCTCGCGGAGGCACAGTCCCCACCGCAGATCCTGGTCCCACCCCCCATCACACACCCCATTAACGCACCCTCGTCCTCCGAAGGACCTCAGTCCTCTCCTGTCTCCTCGTAACTCCGGCAGCCCCCTCCCCGCCGTGGGCTGCCTGGTGCAGCGGACCCCCAGTCCCGGCGGGCGGACCAGCGGCGGCTGCAGTCCAGACCCCTCGT